TCCCGAGGTACGCATGCTATTTTTTGTCATGTTTGTGCGGAAAGCTCGTCATTAAATTGATAGTTGGCGAAATAAGAGTAAATGATTTAGAGGTTAGAAAGACATTGTCATTGAACAACTGATTTCTGCGCATGCTCGTAAACTTCAGCGCATGCGCTCAAAAGACTAATTTAATTTCCTCCCGACTAAAACACGGCTTAAAAGAGGCCATTTCTTCCCTATTTCATAGCACGCAAAACGAGCTTTCCGCGCTAACATGACAAAAATAAATTTTCATTCCTCATTTTTATTAAAGACTGCATTACGTGTACGGTAGTTATGGCTGAATCCAATGCTCACTATGACCTAGCTGTGGATTTGCATTGCTTGGAAATCACAATAATAATTTTTTCATGTGTACGTACGTCGACAGACAGAAGGAAATAATCTCACAAAAACTCGAGCTTTCAATCACTTGATAGTTCTATACCGATAAATCCTTTTTGATTGAGTTATTAAGGAGTTAATTCTCTCGCAAGGGGGATGTTGATTCTCTTTGTCTTTGGTATAAACTGATAAGGACTCGGAAGGAAAGACGCCCCTGATTTTTACCAATCCTCAGTTATACCGAACAACAACCTACTTATAATTGTGATGCAGAAATTTTGTACTACTTCATCATCTTAGAAGTTAGAAATTTTGAATTGCTTCACCATCTTGGAAGATTTTACATTATTTTACGTTTTTCGACCTAATAATCGAAATTTAAATCAGGGGTCGGCAAATATTTTTAGGTGGTATCTGGATGTTTTTGAAAATTTTTATCGAGATCCAGAAGAAACATATTCCTTCCTTTAACAAGTGATAAGCTCTTAAAGCCCTTAAAGCTCAAACAAACTTTATTATATACAGTGATTTTGGAAGTCCAGTTTTGAACCACCCGCAGTCCGGATCTGGACCGCGGTTCGCAGTTATCGACCGTCGATCTAAATCATTGAATCATCCGCTGTATATATACAATTGATACAATTGCGTTATGTTATTTCAATTTCATGGAACTAGTAATTATTTAATGGGTTCTGCCCAAACAAATTTCGTTCTTTTCGTTCAACAAAATGAGATTTTAAATTAATTTGTTGGATTCCGCAAGCCGTCCATCAGCATATCTGGTGTAGCGTCTTAAGAGAGATAAGGCGATCCGGTTCGCGTTCGGTCGAAGTTTGTTAACTTTAGCAGTCAGTGTATATTTTGCGTGGCATCCGAAACTGCTGCCAATCCGCTACGTTTCCAGCAACGTGGATAAAGTGTTTTGCCTCGGATCAAGTAGGTTATTGTTTCAGCTGTGCGGTTTCGAATAAATGAACGCTGCTAGTAAAGCTTTACAAAAGCGAAGTCTAGTAGGTACTCTTAATGGAACACAACGGAATTTCATGTTCTCTTCGAAAAAGTGGAGCTTCCATTCGTGCAATAAAATTATGAGTAAATTGTACTCTGTGTAGGTACATTCTCGCGAAACCGTACACATGTAAAATAAATTGGAGTGTCTATTTACAATTCCAAAATAATTACATCATGTACAAAAGTATTTATTCATGACAATAACTGAAGCTGAACAGATGATGCTCTCTGTGTTTGTTGTAACAAAAGCGGCTTAAGGTACAACCAAGTTTATGTTAAAGCTTTGTGAAGGATAACAATTGTTGTAGCATGCATTTTGTTTTCGAGTGTCTCAAGGATTTTCGAAGAAAAATCGGAGAGATGCATGAAACAAGATGAAAAACAAAAAAAAAACTCACAATCAGCAACGAGATGGAATTTAAATTGGAAAAGTTATGGCGATTAATTCAGCATATATACATATTCACATGAGCAAATCCGAGGAATCTGAATTGAATAGAAATCCCACTGGTTTTTTTCATTCCTACACCATTAAAGCAGCTTTGGTATAAAAAACATGCAGGGATAAAAGGGTAAAATATTCTCTGTTGCTTGTTGCTGTATTTCTGAAGGATTATTATACAGTTTACACATACAACAGAATTTCCCGTATTTAACGTTTGTGTTTCCAATCTGACAGTTAATGATGAACTGATGCTGTCCTGGTTCGGCTCTAGAACTAACTAGAACATTCAGTTGGTGCTCAATGGTTTGCCGAATCTGTCAGACGTGGAACTCAATTTCGAAATCTCGTTCTCATGTCATTAGCACCCCGTATCGTTAGCGAGACTACACCTAACCTTAAAAGGTATAGCCTTATCCCACGTTTCCAACGTAGTACCACTAACAATGTCAGCCTCAATTGCCTACGAAACGTCTATACCTAACATTTCAATTTATTTACACCACTGTTCTTTAACTCGACTTATAATTCTACTAATTGAAAGTTCATAAACTTTGTCAAAAATTAATGAACTCACAAATACAGACAAACATCTACCAGATGTTTTACTTCGTCTCGCATTTTTCACTTTGAACCACTACTATCTAGCATTAAAAAACCTTTTAAACTTTTGGGTGTTTCATTCCCACCAGCTACCAATGCTGGTGGGCGGGCAGTCCCTCCAGACTTCACCTGAAGGTAGGGCGGAAAGCCCTCTTCAGCCTGCTTTCAGGAATCCTGGGGATGGGTGGGTGGTGGTTCGGGTGAGAAGGATGAGACGGACGAAATGAAGACAGAAGAGAATGAAAGATTATCTGTGGAATATTACTGCCCCACCATAACTGATCCAAGGAAATCACAGAAAAACTTGGACCAAGGCAGACGGACTTGGAATCTAACCGGCGTCCTCCCGAATGCTAAGCAATGGACTAAACCTCTCGGTCTATATATAGCATTTTAAAAAAAAATTTTTGGGTGTTTCATTCCCACCAACCAGTAATACTGGTGGGCGGGCAGTCCCTCCAGACTACACCTGAAGGTAGGGTGGAACGCCCTATTCAGTCTTCTTTCAGGAATCGTGGGAATGGGTGGGTGGTGGTTCGGGTGAGAAGGATGAGACGGACGAAATGAAGACAGAAGAGAATGAAAGATTATCTGTGGAATATTACTGCCCCAGCATTTACCTAGGTGATCCAAGGAAACCACAGAAAAACTTGGACCAAGG